TTCAAGACTCCTTTCCAAGCTCACTGCTTTCTGCTTCAGTATTACTGCCTCTCAGGCCTTCACATCTTTATCTGTCACCCATCTGCCATCACTTCTCCTGTGGACCTCTGTCCAATTGCTGATGTCTAAGAACCAGAAGACTTTATCCACTGAGATCTACCATGTGTGAATTGTTCCTAGGTTTATATACCTGTTCCTAACTTTATTTCCTGTCCATTTAATTGTCGATAGCCCCTCCATTTCCCTCCACTCTTTAACATCCTGTGTGGTTGTGACACAAAAATATGTACAACAGATATTGCTAATTTAGCAAGTGGTAGCCTGGGTGAAAACATCCCAAAGGACAACATCCACCTAGAAGGGGATGTAGGAGAAATAGGACTAGAGAGGCCAGTGGTCAATGGAAAACTTGCAGGGTTAAACTCCACTTATTCTGGTAGTATTTGAAGTTGCCCATTGAATTCTGTGGTTAAAAAATGGAAAAGTGCTGACAGTCAAAGCGTATATGTGGGGGGTTGTAGAGTGTTTTCTTCTCCAGTTTTCTAAGTGTCTGCTGTCAACTTCAACCTTGAGAAAGCTACTATGTGGACTCATCATCCCAAACAAGGCCACCATGTACGCGTGCTGGGTATTTAGAAACCTGGAAAAGATATGATGTCTATTTTGAGATCTCAATGCAGCTCTTCCCTTCTTTAATGCCCTCTTCAGGTCTTTCTGCTATTTCCTTTCCAGTAAGGGGCCTATTCCTACCACTCCCCAGAAGCCACAGCTCTTTGTTTTCTCTGGACTCACCTGAGGATAAGGGGTTTTCTACTTTCTTAAAGGGGGAACTCCTTTGGCGTCATAGAGGAAAGTCTAGTTAGAAGTTCATATTTCTTACTTCTCTCTGCTCCAAGTTGTTCTTGTGTCTAGAGGTCCCAGGGATTCTAATGACCATGTTGCTCTATACTTGACCTTTAAGAATTTGTTAACAACCCAGCCATATTTATAGCATATTTGGTCAAAGATGAACTCATTCCTTTTCCTTTCAGGGCCTTATTGTCTGTTCACCTTGTTGCCTGTATCAAAACTTAAATTAGATCAAGAAAAGTTAGGATTTTGTAGGTTGTCTGTTTTTTTCTGTTAATAGTAGAGGAATGACATTTCCTCTGGCTTTCTGCATCCCAAGTGGAACTCATTTGCAGGTGGGGGTGGAGGGAGAAACGGAGCTGTCTTGAAACTCAAGTAAGACACTAGACATGAAAGAGTGAATTGGGAAGTACCACGTGTGGGTTATGAATTATTGTTACTATATTTAGTTGTATGTATATATGCTTCATCTGCTTCCATACACAGTACTTTTTTATTTTTGTATTGTGAAAATACTATACAGAGGGGTTACAATTACATGAGCAAGATAATGAGTACATTTCTTTCTTTCTTTTTTTTTTTTGGTTGGTTGTGGGATTTGAACTCTGGGCTTGGGCGCTGTCTCTGCGCTCTTCAGCTCAAGGCGAGTGTTCTACCACTTGAGCCACAGCATCACTTCCATGAGTACATTTCTTATCAAGCATTGTAGCCTCCTCCTTTGTTTCTCCTTCCCATCCCATCCTCCCCCCACCCCTCCACCCAAACCTCCTCCCCCCCACCAAAGTTGTAAAGATCGTTTTCGACATAATGACTTGTACATCTCATTGTTGCAATGGGTCCACCTGTATCCCTATTAAAATGATTTGTTTTTCCCTTCCCTTCCACAAATTATACCAATATCAAATACAGTGAAAGCAGGGGTTATACCGTGGGGGAGGGACATACAAAGCAACAAAGAAATAATCTTATAAATGTGTTAGAAACAATCGCATGAAAGAAAAAAACATTTGAATACATATCTTCGAGTTCATTTCCCTAACATCAACTTATCTGTCCTTTTCTGCTTGACTCAGACATATACTAGTTATTGCAAATAAAGGAAACCATGGGACTTATGTTTCTTTGGGCCTGGCTTATTTCACTTAATATAATTTTTTCCAAGTCTTTCCATTTCCTAACAAATGGGCAATGTCATTCTTTCTGATCCCTCCACAGTACTTTTGCAGTTTTCATATTAGCCTTGAAGGAAGAAGCTTCTATCTCTTAATAATAGTTCTTTAATTTTTTGCCAGTCCTGGGGCTTGAACTCAGAGCCTGGATGCTGACCCTGAGTCTCTCTGTGCTCAAGGCTAGAACTCTATCACTTGAGCTACAGCACCACTTCCAGCTTTTTCTGAGTAGTTTATTGGAGATAAGTAAGAGTCTCACAGACTTCCTTGCCTGGTCTGGTTTCAAATCATGATTCTCAGATCTTAGCTTCCTGAGTAGCTAGGATTATATGCATGATCCACCAGAGCCTGGCTTCTTAATAATAATAATTCTAAGAGATATCATACTAATGACATAATAATAATAATAATTAGCAATGATTCTGTAATAATCACTAACAAAGGAGTGGCATTGATCAATATGTATTGAACTCATAATGTGATATATGGATTGTAATCTCTTCATACAACTACTTAAAGGGAAAAGTGCAATTAAAATAATAATCAGTAATGTTGGCACAGCAGTTTGTCAGGAAAGATTGAATTTTTGACAGTAGAGACTGAGGTTTAGTCTCTAAAATCTTTTTTTCTCTGAATCTCTTTAAAAAATTAATATCTATTAGTTGTTCAAGAGAGCTTCATTTTGACATCTATTTGCTTACAGTGTACCCTGATCAGATTTACCCTACATTGCTCTCCCTCCACTTGTTAAAACAATTTCAACAGGTCTCAGTTTTCTATTAGCATACAGGTACACAGGTGTATAAGGTACTTCTACTGATCACTGTCACCCTGTCCATTTACCCTCTCCCTCCATTTAATACTGCCACTTCCTCCCCTCTCCTCACCCAATATGGGAGCTGTTTTACTTTCATGTCATTTTTCCATGTATGTTGGTTGTCCAAAGAAGTTCTACCAAATTCCACACATGTACCTAGTACATTAATCAGGTTTACTCCACTTGATAACTCTGTTTCCCCACCCCCATTTTGTTCAGCAGAGTACAGGAAATTTTGTAGAATATTCACTAAGTATTTGTGGGGTGAATAAGTAAATGAAAAGAATAGATATAAACATGATAGGCAGTCAGTCAGACAGACAGACAGACACATAGATAGATAGATAGATAGATAGACAGAAAGATAGAAAGATAGATCGATAGGCAGAAAGATAGAAAGATAGATCGATAGGCAGAAAGATAGATAGATAGAACACATACACAGAGAGCAAGATTTAAAACTATGAATATTATAAGTTTACCCTGATTTTTAGTGCTTGAAATTTCTCCAGACTTATAAATGAGCATGTAAATCCTATCATTACAATTAATATATTTTATTAAAATTTTCTGTACATTGTCAGCTCCTCTAGGGTAGGTATAGACATTGTTAATAATCCAAGGAATTATTTAAATCATTAGTTAACAAAGGAAAAATAATTAGTTAACAAAGGAAATGACCAGGAGGTGACAATTACTTAGAACCCACTACTTAATTATTATATTGTACATATTCCCTTTTATAAATCCTTCAGTGAATACTTCCTTTTAATAATAAACCTGTCACTAGATAGATTATCAACTATCCCTGCTCTTACTGTTTCATTTTCCACATCTTTTGGGCCCACGCCATCAAGAAACTCCTTATTCTGATGCATCTTAATCTGCTTTTCTTTTGTTGGTGTTTACCCACCAGCATATAAGCACATAGTTCTCTCACTTTGAAGCAAAAACGCAACACCCCTTAATATTCTGCTTCTCCATTGGCTATCCTTTTACATTGGCCATATCTGTTTCTCATTCATAGCTGAACTTCTCCAGAGAGCTGTTTTCACCTGTGATCCTCCTTTCCTGACTTCCTTCTTGCTGGGTCTGCCCACTGCATCCACTTCTCCTCCCAGCACTGCTAGGTTCCCTCTAGGAATCATACACTGCCTTGGGTGAATTCTTTCTGGTCAATGTGGCAAATGCCCACTTAATTTTTGTTAGCATATATTGGTTTTTAAAGGGGGATTTCATTTTGATATATCCATACATATATACAGTATACCCCAAACTCCCTCCTTCCATCTCTTCCCAATCAATCCTCCTTCCCCTTTGCTTAAAACCATTTAAGCAGATTTCACTGTTCTATTGTCATAGTGTAAACAAAGTACTTCCACCATATTCCTTTTCATTTAGCCTTTCTTCTATCCCTTCATTAAGAAAAAAGACAATATTTTAGATATATATTATATTTATATAAAAATAGTTGCTAACACTGCTTTAAATCTATCTAAGGTAAGTACTATCTTAGGTAGATAGATTTAATTTTACTACTGACGAACTTCAAATAGGATGATGAGTTGTACATTCAGACTAATCGATTGGCAAAGATACAGTAATTAGTCATTGGAAGTATCATTTGCTCAACTTTTCTCAGGTCCTGGTCTAGTCAAATGTTTATGAAGGCCTTGGAGAAGTTTATATCCTTTGACCCAGGAACCCTTCTAATGGCTTTCTGTCTTCAGCAATTAAAGAATATGTATATATATATATATATATATATATATATATATATATATATATACACCAATGTACAAGGGTGGTTATTGAAGCATTCCATCAACCAGATTTGGACCAAACATAGGCTCAGCATAGGAGGTTTTGGGCAAATTACTCAGCTTCTCTGAGGGTGTTTTTTAAATCTACAATTTGTAAGTCTGCATCTACTTTCTTACATGAAATAAATGGGCTACTAGAAGCCAATCACTTAGGACAGTAACTGACAACTGATGATAATGAGAAAAGTGATAGCTGTTGTCATTTTTATTGTACTTTTCTTCCTCATCTAGAATGTCCTCATTTCATAATACCCACACTCACATGCATGGATTTCAATGCCTCTTAGAAGTGGTAAGTGGAACCAGGCCATTGCTTACAGTCAGAGCAAGTGTCCTTCGGGGCTACCTCCTCAAGAGTACCCTGCGCAGGGCACCCTGTACATCGGGGTTCCTGAGGCTGTAGATGAGTGGATTCAGCATGGGGCTGACGACAGTGTTGAGGATGCCAATGCCCTTGTCCTTGTCTGAAGCCTCCACGGAGCCCAGCCTCATGTAGCTGAAGACGCCTGTCCCATAGAAGATGCCCACCACAGTGAGGTGGGAGCTGCATGTGGAGAAGGCCTTCTTCCTGCCCTCGGCAGAACGGATACGTAGCACAGCAGCTACCACATGGGCATAGGACACCATGATGAGGAGCAAAGGGGCTACACCCATGAAGGCTGCTGCCACAAAGAGCAGCAGCTCATTGAGTTGGGTGCTGGAGCAGGAGAGCTGGAAGAGCTGGGGGAGGTCACAGTAGAAGTGATTGATCACATTAGGGCCGCAGAATTGAAGAGTAGACAAGGCAACAGCCTGAGTCAGTGCATTACTGAAAGAAAAGACACAGGACATGCCCACCAAAGCCTTCTGGATTCCCCAGCCCATATGGGTGCTGTAGGTGAGAGGCTTGCAAATGGCCAGGTAACGGTCATAGGCCATGACAGTCAACAGGAAGCAGTCTGCTCCAGCCAGCAGGTGGAAAAAGAAGAGCTGTGTGAGGCAGGCCCTGTAGGAAATGCTTCTGTCATTGGACATGAAATGCGTCAACATGGCAGGGACAGTGACACTGATGCACCCAACATCCAGCACAGACAAGTTTCCCAGGAAGAAGTACATGGGGGTGTGGAGTTTGGGCTCAATAATGATAGCAGCCACAATGCTGAAATTGCCGCCAATGGTAGCTACGTAAGCCAGAAGGAAGATGACAAAGAGGACGGGCTGGAGAGCCCGAGTCTCTGTGAGACCCAGCAAGACAAATTTAGTCACAAATGAATAATTTCCCGAGGCTCCCAGATCCATGGCTTTCATTTACCAGCAGACCGAGAAAAGTTGGAAGGCAGCAAAGGGGATAACAGGGGAAGAATATCTTGACATGAAGCACCAAATATAGCAATGTCTAGGAGAGGCCAGGATGTAAGAGAACATATAATTTAAGGGAAAGAAAGTTAAAAGATTGAGACATAGTAGGGAAAGCTATGGAAAATACAACTTTTCATGGGAAAAAAAGGTAATATGGGACCCCGCTGAAATATTTTCAGTCCATGATTAGCTGAATCCATAGATATACAACTCACAGATGGGGAGAGCTGACTGTAAATCATGGAAGAACTGTTAGAAAATTAACTTGGAAAGCCATTGACTGGTGAAATGAGAAACAGTGAAACTCAATGATGCTATATTGTGGGAGGTATTTCCAGCTCCAGCTGGTGACAACTAGCCTTCCTTATTTTCTAAGTAGACTGATGATGCTGCATTTCTCAAGTCAGAAAATTTGACTCCAGAGTACTGACATCTTTTTTTCTGAATAAGAAGAATGTGAAAAGAACTCTGAGCAGGTAAGAGTTAGTAGGCTTAAGTTCCAGGGTGGGTTGGATGGATTTACAGGATATTGAGTTAAACTTTCTTACGGCTGGATTCTTTTTTTTTGGGGGGGGTCCAGTAGTGGGGCCTGAACTCTGGGCCTGGGCGCTGTCCCTCAGCTCTTCAGCTCAAGGCTAGCGCTCTACCACTTGAGCCACAGCGCCACTTCCGGCTTTTTTCTTTTTGCTTATGTGGTGCTGAGGAATCGAACCTAGGGTCTCAGGCATGCAAGGCAAGTGCTCTACCACTGAGCCACCTTCCCAGCCCCTATGGCTGGATTCTTGAGAAAACAGATACACGCATCTTGATTCCCCTCTGCCTCATGTTCTGCTGCCCAATCATTTTCTCTTCTGTCTCTTGAACCTAATTACACAACACCTAACCCTCAGATGCCTGATGACCAGATAGGACCACAGTCTGTCACAGAGCTGCTGGCAGCCCATATGCATGGCCACTTCAATGGTGCCTTCTCTGCCACTAGGAGGTGGCCACAGGAATAAAGAACTCAGCAATTGCTGGGCACTGGTGGCTCATGCCTGTAATCCTAGCTACTCAGTAGGCTGAGATCTGAGGATCCCGATTCAAAGCCAGCCTGGGCAAGAAAAGCAGTAAAACTCATATCTCCAATAAACCACCAGAAAACTAGAAGTAGCGCTGTGGCTCAGGTGGTAGAGTGCTAGCCTTGATCTGAAGAGCTGAGGGACAGTGCTCAGGCCCAGAGTTCAAGCCCCATGACTGACAAAAAAAACCCCAAAACAAAAAGCAAACAAAAAAGGACTCAGCAATTAATTTCACTAAGGTGTAGGTATTTACAAACTTATAAAGAGCTCAACTCATGTGGAAAAGGCTGGAACTGGAGACACCTCCCACCCCCAAGAGCAAAACCCTTGAGCAAAGGAAGATACTTCCTCTTGACAAGAATCGACAGGTCTGTAATGGGCCAAACACTCTCAAAAGAGTCTGGTCTTTTTTTAATTTTTCATGCACATGTTTAACGATTTTCTCAAACTTTATCACCCCAAAGCTGGACTACTTTCTTCCCTCCCTGTCTGCTTCTGAGTCAGCTATTTTCAGAACAGGCTTGCTAGCATCCCACTTCATGTGGCTCAAAACCTTAATCCTCACTGTCGCCTCCATCCTCCTTCCCTCCCACAGTCAAGCACCCCAATACCAGTTCAGCCTCCAGGGAAAGGAAAAAATCCATTTCAGACTCAGGAGTGAAGTTGACATGCAGCCAAGGGGTATTAGAATGGCACTCACATGGTTAAAGGGACAGGAACTTCCTGGGCAAAGAGGAGGCCAGGAAGCCTCCTCAGAGGTAAGAGCTTATAAAAGACAGAGCACCCAAAGATACAAACAACAGCTCACATCATTTTCACCTGGGGGATTTCTCTTCTCCCACTGTTATCTATCCCTTGGAGGCCTCAGAAATTACCTTTTGGGGGAGGGGAGGATCCAGGGTTAGCTAAACACCTGTCTTTGCCAAAGACCTTTAAGGTTTCCAATTATGTCCTTCCTGGCTGGTGAAATTCATTCGTTTATTCAACAAATGTGATTTTACTATGAGCCGCCATTCTCATTTGCTACATGTTATAGCTCAAATGACTTTCAGAAAGACTTTGTATTAACATGTATGATTGTGCACTATTAATGGGTTTAGGGTAATGTTTCCATATATGCATGCAGTGGCACTGACGAAGTTCAGCCTCCATTTTTTCAGCTCCAGCTGCCATGCACACTCCCCTCCCAATTTCTAGTAGCCACTTTTCTACTTTTTAGCATGCAGGAAAACATGCAGTTCTCATCATTTTTTTTTTTTTTTTGCTTGGTCATGGGGCTTGAACTCTGGGCCTGGGCGCTGTCCCTCAGCTCTTCAGCTCAAGGCGAGGGCTCTACCACTTGAGCTACAGCGCCACTTCCGGTTTTCTGGTGGTTTATTGGAGATAAGAGTCTCACAGACTTTTCTTGCCCGGGCCAGCTTTGAACCGTGATCCTCAGATCTCAGCCTCCTGAGTAGCTAGGATTACAGGGATGAGTCACCAGTGCCTGGCAGTTCTCATCTTTCTGGCTTGTTCATTCAACAGAATGTGCTCCAATTCCACCTATGTTTCTACAAATGACAAGATTTCATTCTTCATATATTCAGAAAGTTGCTGTATAGGACTGTCGTACAGTGTCAGGGACAGTTATTTAGTGGAACTCGGGACTTAATTGAGGGCCTCACACTAGCTAGATAAACTCTTTACCACCCGAATCACATTCTCAGCCATTTTGTTCTTTTTTTTTTTTTTTTAACACTCTGTGGCTCTTGCCTGTGTGGGCTTAGAACAAAATCCTCTTACCTTCACTGTTACAGCAATATGAACCTGCAGAGACCAAGACCACTTTTCAGAGAGGATAAAGGAGATTATTGCTGGTGACCCAAACCAGGCTACTGCCAGAAAGGGTTAAGATCCTGAGGAAGGGGAAACTCTGGGTTTTATATAAGCTGGTCACACACACACACACACACACACAAACACACACACACACACACACACACACACACACCAGGTCATCAATCAGAAAGGCCCCAGGGTCAGGGGAAGAGGTGTCAACTTCAGGTCAGGTGTGCAATTGCTACCTGCTGGGCTTTCTGTTAGTAATCCAGAGAACTTCACTTGGTCTGCCAGATACCCACATTCCAGCGGACACCCTCTCTTAGACACATTCTGGCAACATGGCCTTTGCTAGGAACATAGTTACTAGGGAGAGGTCTACTCCACTACTATCTCCAAGAGCTGGGGTTAGAGTAATGCGGTACTATGCCCAGCCTAGCTCATTATTTTACTCTTTTACTCTTTTCTTACTACTCAGTTGGCCACCTAAGCCATCTGTCAAATTTCCAGGACCTCTAAGTTGTTGTTTGGGCTCATTTCTTGAATTTTGCTCTTAATTGCCATGCCTTTAAAGAAGTTATGATGGGTAGGGGCAACCAAGTGAGACAAAAAGTCACACTAGGTAGCAGTAGCTTTTCACTAGAATTAAGAGTCTGGAGCTGAGCTACCAGGGTAAGCGTGGCTTACATGAAGAGCTTAAGTTCATCCCCTGCAGGACAGGTACCAGGGATGTTGAAAAGACCAATGACAAGAATCTGAGTGGGGAGATATGTATCAATGGCTTATATTTGTAATCTTAGCTACTTGGGAGGCTGAGATTTGAGGACCAAGGATTGAGGTCAGCCTAGGCAGGAAAGTCTATGAGATCCTTATCTCCAATTAACTACCAAAAAGCCAGAAGTGGAGCTGTGGTTCAGGTGGTAAAGCATTAGCTTTGATTAAAAAGATAAATTACAATGCCTAGGACCCGAGTTGAAGCTCCAGGGCTGGTGTGTGTGCGCGTGCGTGTGCATGCGCGCGCGTGCACACACACACACACACACACACACACACACACACATGGAATCTGAAGGTGAATAAGTAACCATTCTTCCTTTCCCAAGTGGCTAATCTATAAATGCAGGTACTAGGACTGCATCATAAAGATACTGAAGAAAGCAGGCACCAACATTAGCGTGTTGGGGGCAGAAGCAGACTTGGTGATCAGATGATGGGAAAGCCATGGAAATGTCATTTAAATCCTGTTTTAGAGCTGGGTGCCAGTAGCTCACACCTGTAATCCTTGAGGCTGAGATCTGAGGATCACGGTTCATAGCCAGCCTTGGCAGGAAAGTCTGGGAGACTCTTATCTCCAATTAACCACCAGAAAACCAGAAGTGGCTCTGTGGCTCAAGAGGTAGAGCACTCGCCTTGAGCTGGAGAGCTCAGGGACAGCACCCAGGCCCAGAGTTCAAGCCCCACAACTAACCCCCCACTCCCAAAAAAATCTTGTTTGGAGTTTCAGATCCAGCTGTGCCTCATCTTAGGTGAAAAATATCAGGCAACTTACTGAACTTGAGCCTAGGTTTCCTTCTTTATAAAGTGGGGAAAATACTGAAGCTACATCAAAGAGCTGACAGGAAGATAGAGGAAGACAAAGTGCCAAAATAAACTAAATATCAGTGAACACTATTATTGTTGTTTGATGATCCCTTAACAAGTACTTCACAGCTCCTATCTTCTTTAATTTTCAGACCAATTCTGGGTGTCTGGAAATATTTTTCTATTTTCACAGATGAGGAAGTCAAAGCCCAAAGAAGATTGGCATCTTGTCCTAAATGATGTAATAACTAGAAAAACATGTCTATCTACCATTCTCATGTTTTGCGAGGCTTCCGTGGGAATGTGTGGAGAAAGAGCTGGGGTTCTGTAGCTGAGGAAAGGCAAGTTCTCCACCCTGTGGGAAATTCCTGTTTAAATGGGAATGGGTCACTGAGGGAGGGTCACATCACCCCTCCATACTCTCAGTCCATGGACCTCATCACTAAGAGCCTTCAACTTCGGAAGTTGGAGCTCAGACAA